GAGGTGGTCAGCTACTGCAGCAACGTTCTCTAATTCTATCATAGTTGCAGTTGACAGCAATGACAACATCTACGTTATGGACAATGGTGTATATGTTTTAAGAATGATTAGAGCTAGCAATGGAAATATAGAAAGAGTGGCAGGTACCTATACCACTATCTGTTCTGACGGCAATTGTGGAGATGGAGGAAGTGCACTCAGTGCCAAATTGACAGCTGTAAAGAATATTGAAATTCATCCAATTACTGGTGACATTTACTTGGCGGAAGCTAACAGAATCAGAAAAATTAGTGGTGGTATTATCAGTACAGTTGTTGGTGCTTTTGGAAGAAATTATGATTCTTTAGTCACTGGTGCCTGGGCAAATCCGTTGGATGTTGGTATTGCCCCAACAAGAATTTCCTTCTCACCTACTGGTCAATTGTATTTCAATGATGGTAGTTCTTATTGGTCAATGCGTACTTTGAAAGATGGATTGGTTAGACCTGTCTCTGGATTTTTAATTTCCACAACAGACAGGTTTAATTACAATGGAGAAGACTTGCTACCAACTAAGGTAAAACTCTCAAATCCAACTTCAGTGTTTTTGGACTCGAATGGCAATGTTTTTGTTGGTTGTTCTGGAACCTCAAGTACAACTGGAGGTGAAAATGATGCCAGAATTGTAAAGGTTGATGTCAATTCCAATACTGCTTCCACATTCATTGGAACTTTAACTGAGGCTTCAGCAATTTCTGAAAACACAATTAGAACCAAAACTTCACTCAAACCATATGCTTCAATCTATACAGGTCTTTATACACCCTTCGGAATTCATGTAACTCCAAACGGAGATGTATACTTTGCAGATCCAAGTCGTTATGTAATCAGAATGTACAATGCAACCCTGGGAACTGTTAGTACAATTGCAGGTACTATGAACACAGTTTGTACCGATAGTATTTGTGATAATGGTCAACCAGCACTAAGTGCTCATTTCAAACTCCCGACCTCAATATTCGTCACCGACGATGGAACTATTTATGTCTCTGATACTCAATTGCATCAAATTAGAAAAATTCAGAATGGAATTATTACAGCAATTGCTGGAACTGGAACTCAATGCACCACTGCAGGATCTAATACTTGCGATCATGGTTCTACATCTCCATTGCGCGTTGACTTGTATACTCCAATGGGTATTTATGTTACCAAGAGTGGTGAAGTATATTTTGCAGATACTTCCAACCATAAGGTTAGAAAAATCTCAAGTGATGGCCTCACCATAACTACAGTGGCCGGATCAGCTGGAAATTGTGCCTCTGGAACTTGTGCCACTTTCAGTGCATCCGCTACAGACTCAACTGCAAAACTCTTCTATCCAACTGGAGTTGTTGTCAATGAAACATCCGGTTCAATTTACATTGCAGATCAAGGAACTCACACCATTAGAGTAGTTTCTTCAAATGGTTCAATGAGTGTTTATGCTGGTACTTTCCCAGGCATGGCGTTCAATGATGCTGGAGCCACTCAATTCAGTGCAGAAGGATCATCAAAGTACCTTAATTTACCAACAAGTATTTTCCTTAAAGATAACTCAATTTATGTGACAGAGCCAGTTTTTGGAAGAGTTAGACGTGTGACTCAAAACTGTAGAGCTGGATATGGTGGCGATAATTGTGAAACTCCTATTTGTTTTGAAATTCTGGCAACTTATTCAACCGTTTGTTCAGGAAATGGTGCATGTATTGAAAGTGACACTTGTCAATGTAATGCTGGAAGTTCAGGAAGTAATTGTTCTCAAACAACTTCCAATTGTAGATCTGGTTTCTATGGAAGTAATTGTGAAATTTCCAATTGTTATGGAAAGTTTTCAAATGATTCATCTGTTTGCAGTGGGCATGGCCGTTGCAATTCAACTGATTCCTGCTCTTGTTCACCTAACTATTTTGGAGGAAATTGTCAAATTACAACATGTTTCAATACTCAAAGTAATGACAGCTCAGTATGTTCTGGACATGGTGTATGCTCATCCTATGATCAATGTTCATGTAATTCTAATTATTATGGATACAATTGTAATATTACAACATGTGGAGGAGTATTTTCAAATGACTCTAGTGTCTGTAGTGGTAATGGAAATTGTGTTGATTTTAACCAATGTAATTGTGTACAAAACTCTGGTTCCAATTGTGCTGAACCAATAATCCCAACAATCTACTGTTTTGGAATTCTTGCCAATGATTCAAATATTTGTTCTGGAAATGGTCAATGTAATGCAACTGATATCTGTATTTGTGATTCTCTATTCTCTGGTTTCGATTGTTCGAATGATACCTCTAATGCTAACAATAACAGTACTTTTAATAACAATACCAACACTGACAATAG